CTCTCCTCACCTAAAGGAACCATGGGCCTGGAAGATCGTAACTGTTAGGGTTAAACCTCATTAGCCTTAACACTTAGCGAAACATCTACCAAGTGGCCAGTTTAAGGGGCATACACAGAGACAAGTCTCCTCATCTTGCACACAGCACAGATCACATCCCCACTTTTACGACGATAATTTATAAAGTAAAAATACTCCTCATTTGTCATAAAAAGATCCAAACAACTGCCTTCCACGAATAAGCACACTTTGTGCTACACCTTACAAAATTGGATCCAGATTTTCCCTGGTGTGCTAAAATTTCTCTCACGAAAGATACATGCAGCTTGTTATAACCCATAGACAAAATTGTTATCTATTGCCTAGTCGTGACAACTAATTTCTTACTTGAAGGCCATACCTGCCCGGAAAGAGTAATTGAGCCTACCTGAAGCCTTGAATTATTAACTTGTACATAAATTCAAATGAAGAAAAAGAAAAGCACTGCGGACGGCGAATAACGAAGTGCGCGTCTGCGTATCTGTTATCGATTTGGAATTTATATGTAATTTTCTCAAAATACCAAGCTTGTCTATGGAACTGAACTGTGAACAAGACTGTTAGTTCAAATCCCTGTTAGCAAGTCTCAATAAATGAAGGCAAAACTGGTGGATACTCTCAAAATGTAAGTATTTTCTGGTTATGTTACGAAAAAACCGAGTTCGATTAAGGTCTTTTAAATGCATGCAAAAGTCACGCTTTTTAAAACCGAGGCCTGCAGGTGTCTTTACCCGGTTCCCTTACACAGCTTTATATTACTGTTCCTAACATAAAGTATTTACCCGCAAACAGCCATGAAAGAGTGCCTAAAATTACCGGGCTTCTGATCTGTCCACGAAACACAATCTTTTATCTCCCTCCATCTGACTTTAGCCTTACTTTTCGGCAATTCGTCAAAAGTAAAGTCACAGTCGAGTTGAACAAGTGGACTCTGCATTACTCGTAAACTGAGCTTTGCTTCTAAACCCGCTTTTTGGCTTTCTGAATATCATTAATGAAAATTTAGCGGATTGTGTTGCCACGCATATACCTCGGATTGCTCCTTATGCCAACGGAAACTACTCCAGCAGGCCTCATCGGTCATGCTAATTAAATACTACAAAGTAATGTTACTTGGCAAGTCAATTTTGTTTAACAAACATTGTTATTCGTTTCATGGAATGTTAGTAAACCTTTACATCGTGAGATTTTAAAATATCACTGGAAAAGTCATTACTTTCGGCCTCTATATTCTCTCTCTTTCAGAACCACAAGCTTCTATTGAGATCATGAAGATCGAGTAGGTGATAATCGTGGCGATTGATATCTAAGCAGCGGGAGAATGGTTTGTTTGAAGCCAGGATACCAGTATTTACAAAGTAGCGCGCTGGCATGCTTCATACAACTGCATTTCTCGAGGCAATGTAGCCTTGGTCTTAATTCAAAAGCGCTGCAAAGAAGTTAAATAAGACGCTCTCGATTTTCGACTTAACTATGGAGCTTCGTACAAGTGACTCATACGTAGATCCAGAAATTGGCAGACAAGTCCGATGCTGTAGTTACCATCTGTCAGTAAACTTATCCATGCAAGTAAGAGCAGAAAAAACGACT